GGGTCCTCCGGAGGACCCGGCCTGTCGTTTTGGACACAGCCATTCTCAGCAGGTTTCTAAGGTTCTTCTTCTACATATTAAAAAGTTGTTAAACATCTGAGTGGTGCACTACTGCTACTAGTGGTGAGAAAGTGTATTACACCTTATTTAAAATCAATGTGGTCCCATGGCCCTCTATGGCCCAAAGTTAAAAACTGTTGTTCTTTTGAAGTCCTCAAGGTGGCGCTCACGGCCCACAGGTTAAGAATCTCTGATCTAAAGAAACATCAGATTCTTCTCTACAGTCTGTGTTGTCAGACATTTTATCAATGCTTCTTTTACAAGCAGACATTCCCCTTTGACGTCACTTCCTGTTGCTTTACATGCAAATATCTGAACAACTGTTCATCTGAGCAAAGTGGAATTTGTCTTGCGTTATGTTATCAGTGTTGTCTTTCCAAAAATGAATTCAAATTTATGACAAAAATTTGATGTCACAGGGACTTTAACGTTTTGTTTTTGTGTGAAGTGTTGTTTTATGTAATCAAATCATTGATCCATTCRTTGTATATTTTGTGCTGTGTGTGCAGGACATGCTTCAGGCTGCGGGTCAGTACAGAGAAACTAAAGCCTCCGTGTACCGACCTCCTGAAAATGCACCTGCAGAGCCTGAGTACATCCCTTGGACAGGTATACCTTCACCTTCCACAGGATCCAAAGCATCGTTCTGATTTTCCCGACTGAATTCTGTTTACATAAACTTCACAATCAGAATGTGGAATATTTTAACAATCCGGTTGCCTTCACCTCTTCCTTCAGCGTATGGTGGCGTTGGAGGCGTTCGCACCATCATTTCCCGCCAGCATGAGATCATCCTGCGCTCTGTTTACCCACATGCTGACTGTGAGTTACGCAGTACTCTCTGTGAGCAGCTGGTGGCGCTGTTGGACATCTACTTGGGTGGTTATGTGGCTCAGCTGACTTCCATACAAAAGCAGAGGCCCTCAGGACCCCTTCAGGAGCGCTACAACAGCCTAGAGATGGAGTACATCCAACGCCGCTCAGAGCTGCTCACACCGCTGTGTAAGTGGACTTTTTTTATTGTTTATTGTTTAAATATTTTTTAAAAAAATCACCAAAACCAGTCCATCTGAACAACTACAGGAAAATAAATACAGAAATAAAATAAAACACAATCTTTAAATTCCTGTCAGCGTCAAAAAGACAAGGCATAGACTGAAAAAAAGTGTAGGTAGAAGCCTAAGTTTTTTATACCTTCACTTTTTATTCATACAT